TTTTTTTTTTTATGAACGGGAATTGATAAAACGAGTAATTTTTATTCTAAACTTTGGCAGTTTAATTCCTCTTTTTAATACCTAGTTAATCTTTGAACAACTTTAAGCAGTAAATAGATTAATGTTTCGCATCGTCGATGACAATGGGTAAAATATTACAAACGATCAAAATAAATTGAAGTTTTAGGAACTGGATACGGCATTGAACCATTCAGTCTATTCGATTGACCGAAGTGCAATTATTGCGGTCAATATATATATAGTGTATATCTATGTATATCTATAGTGTAATATCACTGCTCGATGAAAGTAGAAAAAAATCACTCTTAATCAAACACTTAAGTTAATCAAATTACTCCCAGATGAGCGATAAATAAATAATATGAAAAATAATAATATTATCATAATAATAATATTTTGTCAAATATGCATTTCCTTCTCGGAAAGATTAAGTCGTAAATGGAGAATCTTCAATTGAAATATTATGATAATATTGTAAACGCGATAAACTGTAATAAGTACTTAAGGATCGTCGAACTGGCCTTCCGCGTAATTCGTTTGCCACACTAGAGTTCCTTCCTGTAACATTTTTAAAATTTTCAATTTCACTCGCTTTGGGTGACGATCCGCGGGACAGTAGATCCGTTGGAATGGACGGTAAAATGTAAATGGCGGGTAGGTACGAATCTTTGGTTCTCTTCCTTCTGAAAACAAAATGCGCCCATGTTTGTTCTTTATTTCGTTTATCGTAAATCTGCCGATTTTATGCATTTGCATATGCATATGCAATTCCCAAACTGTCCATTTTTGTGTACAATCTGAGCATCGATTAGGGAGAATTTACTGTATACATGTGCGAAGAAGAAAAATACAAGGGTGCCTTGTGCCACTGGGTGGTGGTTTGTTCGTATAAAAGTGCGACAACAGTCTTAACAATTCGCTATTACCGTAATACTAATTCGATACAACTCGATGTACACGAATCCAAAAAAAAAATATAAACTGTATTAATTACTGTATCTTACCATTAGGATCAAAGTCATCGGCGGAATCCTCCGAGGTATCCCAATGCATATGTCCAGAATCGGCTCTAAAACAAAGATAAATTTCAAGAAAAAAATTGTTAAATCGATCTGAAACGATTTTAACGTATTCTGGAAGTATAACGCTTAAAAAATTGTACGATATTTTACGGGGGAATTATTCTGAAACATTTCCAAGTTAAAACAATCGCACCTCCAACGCTAGAATTTTTCATTCTGTTGTAGCGTTACGAGTAATTTTAAGGACGCATGGTACGCCTAGCAAAATATGGGGTTGCGAGGCCGGCGTGCCTCCGCAGGCAAGAGTCGTAAAAGACCCAGGCGCACGGATCGAGACGTTCGTTGATTGGCACGGGGCCTTGTCAACTCTGAAGTACGAAAGAAAACGTCTCCTTCGCGGGCCACACAGGGCACTTTCTCTTTCCCATCTCCTGCAACATTCCGTTCTCCCATCTCGTTTCCAATCTCTTCATTATCTCTGGTAACTCGTTCGAGGTAAAAACGTCGCCAAACGCGAGTAACCCGACGACCGTTCTATATCCGCGCCGTACACTAATTGTACTCTTTCCGTTTGCGCAACGCTTAAACGACAAAAATAAAAGGAGATCGTCGATCAACCGCGTCTACGGTGTAATGCATTTGGCAATAGTTTTCAACAACGTAGCCTCGGACGAAAAATGTTATCCCATCTGTTTAATTTCTTTGATTTTTTTCATTTTCGTAAGATCAATTAATCTACGCCTGTTTCTGTTATTCGCATAATACAGCATTTACGATGCCTCTTCGAGCATCGTCCGTGGGCTATAACCCACGTAGCTTCGGCAACCGGTTACTAGAGGCCCAACGGTAACCCGGTTAGCCCGGTAAATGCGGGTTATAACTGGAAAGCTCTAGAATCGGGACCATAACTGTAACCGCAATTGGGGCTTCGGTTGCCTTATGAGATTTACAGTTCAAATAATTTCATGCCGCCTTAATGTATATTACAATTTTGTACAATACATGCTTTTTTATACAATATTTTATACAATTTTATACAGTATCTTGATTTTCTAGATTTCAAGTTTTAGGGAAAAATCTGTCGCACGACTGTGCTCACAAAATGGTCCTTGCACCTCGACTCGAAAGAGGACGAATTTGGGACTCGCCTCCTCGAGTTCCCAGAATGAACGTTGCTGCTGTCCCAATGATTCCAACTAAGACCCAACTAAACATCTCCTTTGCGATCGGTTCTCCGTCCTTTTCTTGACTCAGGCCAGGACCGATCAGATCGTCGTATCAGTTTGACCCCGATTAATATATCAACCGGGAGACCACGGGACCGATCAGGGTCCGCCAAGGTCAGATCTTGCAGGTGGAGATAATCGCAGGAATTAATGTTCGACTTGGGCGCCCGTCACAGTAATCGCCGTTCGTCTTTTGGGTAACCGTAGGGCCTGAACCCCTGGCCCAACAGTGCCTGTTAATTCCGTTACCCTCCGCCGCGCGTCGTCACCTACGCGAGCGGAATAGCCCATTTCTCGTTCGCGGGAGCGTCGGTCACGGCGACGCAAAGACGAGCTTAATGAACCTCGAGTTCGAATTGTGATCCTGATGGAGACGCAACGAGACGCGGAGCGACACGAATCCACGCAGGCAATTAAAAATCGAGTCCTATCATCGCAGGCAATTAACGAGTTCGCAAAATAAATCACTCGCCTGCTAGAACTCAGTCTCGGCGCGAAGTAGCCCTTCAGGAAGTATGCTCTTTTCTCTGAACGTCGGCCTTCGGCTCCAGCTGCGGATGAAAACGTCGACGCTGCTCCCACTGGGCCCACAGATAACATTGACGGTCCTCGGCGATGTCCTAAACGAAGTTATCCTTGTCCATCTTCTTATAATTCGGGAGGATGCGGCAGGATCCTCCGACAGCTCCTGCGCCATGTTGAACTACTCCATTTCCGCGCGGCAGAGGGCAGCAGCTTGCGGCGGCAGTTAGTGGCAGTTGCGGAAAGCGCTTTGTTGGTCGCCGTTTTTATTCGTCTCCAATTATATTCAGTCACAAGTGCCGTTTAATTTTCACATCTTACGAGCTCATGAAGCGAATAAAGTGAAATTGGAGCATTCACGGAGAGGTAAGTAACTATTTTAACATGTTTGGTTGCGCGCGATCGGAAGCGACGTTGTTCGCAGTTTTAACATTTTGTGGCCCCGACGTTTGTTTTTAGAGCCAAGGCGATATTTGCGGCTTCGGAAGTAATATTTCCACAACATGGAGTAACTTTGGATGAGCATTTCAACGCGGATGAATTCAACTCCAATTTCATTTCGATCGGCTATGGACACTATTTGGAAGAACGCGCCGATTAAGATACATAGCAGGGAGAGTGTGAAGTCAATTGACGACATATTTGCTGCTGGAGGACGGTGAGTAATTTAAAAAACTCTTATTTCGTCCAAGAGGACGTCGAATAGATCTTTCACTGTCCCCTTGCATGATTTAACACTAATCATACGATCGCCGATCTTATTCAACAATTATTGAAATTATAAAGACGTATATTCCAACATATATTAATATAAAAACAGACGAGTCACTTTTAACGTCCGATATTAATATTGCCTCATTTGATTTTTAATGTTATAAAGTTAAATAACTTACGATGAACACGAGCCTCCCTCCTTGCAGGAATTATCTAGCGAGAGGTCTGTCAATGATGATGACAATGATGAAATTGGCCATGTCCTTTCAGATAATACTTCTTCTAATGCTTCAGGTGACTTTATCTTGATTCCATTGAGTATTCTGTAGCTGGTTTTCCAATGATCCCTCAAATTGGCTCTCATAATTTCGTATCGACCACACTATTGATTTCATTATTAATTTTTTATTGTACACATTTTTTTTTAATTATGAAAGTATCTTATTTATGTTCTTACCAATAAATCGTTGGTCAGAAAATAGTTTTGTTCAAGATCCAGCCCTATCAAGCCTGGCAATTTCTTTAAAACTTCTGGTACAGTTTCAAATTCATTGTCGTAGAGATCAATATATTGTAAACTGTTCAGAGTTTCCAAAGTATCCGGCAACTCGCATAAATGATTCTGACATGCTTTCAATTCATTTAACGATATTAGTCTTTCAATATTCTTTGGAAGCGTGGTCAAATTATTCTTATCTATTATCAAACATTTCAATTTGATCAAGGAACAAATTTCTTCTGGTATGTAACTAATATTATTAGAACTAATATTTAGTACAGTTAAATTAACGAAATTAATCATTTCTTTAGGTACTTGTGGAATCTGTGTTCCGCTCACATCGATTTCTTTCAGATTGGATGGCTCTTTCAACGAGTTTATTGGCATAAACCAAAAACTATTTCCATTATGGAAGCTACTATTTCCGATTATTAATCGTTCAAGATGTATCATTCTAGCAACTAATTTTTCTACGTTTGTCTCGAATAATTGGCATTGTTTCATAGAAAGCACTTTGATGTTCAATGTAGCTTGTTCTTCTGGCAAATCGAACGTTTGAAAGACTGTATTATTCAAGGACACCGTGTCCAGATTCTTGTACCTAGAATTTAATATCCACCTAGGGAACGATGGACAAGTGCCATTTTGTTCAGCATAAAATGTAGTCAACTTAATGCTCTTTGGAGAAACATTTATCTCTGAGCAAGAATTCCGAGAGAATGTAAACTCTTGCAAATTATGCATTCCACTTTCAACGCTGCTTGGAATTATTTTAAATCGATTATTTGCAAGAGAAAGACTTTTCAGCTGATTTAAATGCAAATATGAACATGGCAAGTCTCTTAATTTATTAGAACTGAGATCCAACTTTCCTAAATTCGTTAAATTCTCTAAATTATTTGGGACATCTTTTATATAATTATTGCAAGCTGTTAAAGTTTTTAAACTAGTTAATTCGCTAACGATGTTTGGAATAAAGCAAAATCGATTAGAATCAATGTTTAAGTAAACTAGTTGCCGTAGAACATTTAGAGCGTTTGGTAGGTCATTTAATCTGCTGTTGGATAAGTCAAGATGAACTAAATTTGTTAAACATTGAGAAAATCTGTTGGGCAAAATTGTCAGGTAATTTCCTAGTAGAGACAGATTTTCTGTATCTTTTGCGTGTAATATTTGGGAAGTTTGCTTTTTCACTCCCATTGTCAATATTCTATTTGACTTATTTTCCAATACAATATTACATGGACTACGTTTAAACGTCAACCATGTACTGTCTTCGATTGAATTTTCCAAGCTGCAGTCTTTAAACATTCCTGTTAAAATATAGAATATAAATTGGTACCTAATAAATCGAATCGCATTCAAGCATAAGTTAAAGATATTATTAGTGCTGAAGTGATAAAAATTTTCCTGATACATTCTTCTGAACTACACAAAGGTACAATAATACCTTGATTCACAATTAGATTATTGACAATGATTACAGCAATTCTGAGCTTTATTCGGCAATTTTTCAAAACATATTTTTGAAGATATTTCTTGCAGACTTATTAGCCTTTCTTCTAATACATAAAACATTAAATGAAGCAGCATTAAGTGCAATTGTAGCAATATAGTACATAAATAAGATAATATTCTTGATAGAAAACATACAACCAAGAATAAAGAAAGAAATAGATTTAGAGAAATACTATGAAAACTATGATGTACAAATTGTGTTTACTGCTGTTTTTAATCATTATATTTAAATTGCTACTACCATTGTTGTGAACCTAATATCGTCTGTTCAATTCTGCAAATATTATCTTCAAAAATAAGTAATAAAATTATACCTCCGTCTTGTTCTATGAACTTTTGTGCAGTCTTTATTCTAGGCACTGTAAAAATTAATATGTATTCAATAAAAGTGAAAACATAAACATACTTTAGGTTAAGAGTGTCAGAAATTATATGCTCTGTACACACATATACTCATAAGAACCAGTAATATACGATTTGAAGATTTATGTATATCGACACACGAAATAATATCTTTTTGTAACACAAACAATGTACACCGACAATCTAGTAGCAACAAACATGAAATGTACACTAGTTTAAATATTAGCCATGAAATATAAGACTCAACTATAAGGGAACAACGCCAGTTTTCATATTTATAAGCCACAGATATTCTATCTCAGCGCCGCACCGTCGGCAGTCGAGCGATACGCTTTTGGTAACTCGGCGTGAGTTCGTAGACTAGGTATACTAAATCGAAGGCGAGAATGCAAGAATTACTGCAGCTATGCATGCAGTCTACCTCACGGTACATATTTACTACCCCCAAAAAATATTTGCAAGTAGTTGAGTTCGACTTGGACTCTGGTTTCCAAAAAAAATTTCCAACAAATATATTAACCCATCCATCCTCCTAAAAATGCTTTCAAATACAAAAGTAAAATATTAATCCACAAAAGAGACAGTAAAATGTTACAAGAGCCTATTTATATCGGCGTGGGCCATCGGTTAGGAAAAGGAAAGGGGTGGGATTTTTGAACATTGGTAGAACTAGGCAGCGCCGAACGTTCGTTACAGCGAACGAGGACAATGCATGAGAGACAATGGAAAATTGGTAATGGATTTTGTATTGGGATTATTGGAAGGGTGGCCCAGGCGACGATATGTCGTGTACAAAAGCTAACGTCGCGCGAGCATTTTTTACGGACCCAGATGACACGAGGAAATCTCTAAAAGAGCGATTTCAATTTTAGACGATAAATCTTTTAAAATAAGGTTTAATATCATAACGTATGTATCAAGGTATTGGTCGGCAGAATATCGAAGATCAAAGGGGAGAGAATATTATTAGCTTATCGAAGGTTTTTTATTTCTGATAAAAACGGTCCATTCTCCCATGTATCTGTTAAACGTGAATCCGTTCAAAATATTAACGTTTTATCGTANATTAGATTATTGACAATGATTACAGCAATTCTGAGCTTTATTCGGCAATTTTTCAAAACATATTTTTGAAGATATTTCTTGCAGACTTATTAGCCTTTCTTCTAATACATAAAACATTAAATGAAGCAGCATTAAGTGCAATTGTAGCAATATAGTACATAAATAAGATAATATTCTTGATAGAAAACATACAACCAAGAATAAAGAAAGAAATAGATTTAGAGAAATACTATGAAAACTATGATGTACAAATTGTGTTTACTGCTGTTTTTAATCATTATATTTAAATTGCTACTACCATTGTTGTGAACCTAATATCGTCTGTTCAATTCTGCAAATATTATCTTCAAAAATAAGTAATAAAATTATACCTCCGTCTTGTTCTATGAACTTTTGTGCAGTCTTTATTCTAGGCACTGTAAAAATTAATATGTATTCAATAAAAGTGAAAACATAAACATACTTTAGGTTAAGAGTGTCAGAAATTATATGCTCTGTACACACATATACTCATAAGAACCAGTAATATACGATTTGAAGATTTATGTATATCGACACACGAAATAATATCTTTTTGTAACACAAACAATGTACACCGACAATCTAGTAGCAACAAACATGAAATGTACACTAGTTTAAATATTAGCCATGAAATATAAGACTCAACTATAAGGGAACAACGCCAGTTTTCATATTTATAAGCCACAGATATTCTATCTCAGCGCCGCACCGTCGGCAGTCGAGCGATACGCTTTTGGTAACTCGGCGTGAGTTCGTAGACTAGGTATACTAAATCGAAGGCGAGAATGCAAGAATTACTGCAGCTATGCATGCAGTCTACCTCACGGTACATATTTACTACCCCCAAAAAATATTTGCAAGTAGTTGAGTTCGACTTGGACTCTGGTTTCCAAAAAAAATTTCCAACAAATATATTAACCCATCCATCCTCCTAAAAATGCTTTCAAATACAAAAGTAAAATATTAATCCACAAAAGAGACAGTAAAATGTTACAAGAGCCTATTTATATCGGCGTGGGCCATCGGTTAGGAAAAGGAAAGGGGTGGGATTTTTGAACATTGGTAGAACTAGGCAGCGCCGAACGTTCGTTACAGCGAACGAGGACAATGCATGAGAGACAATGGAAAATTGGTAATGGATTTTGTATTGGGATTATTGGAAGGGTGGCCCAGGCGACGATATGTCGTGTACAAAAGCTAACGTCGCGCGAGCATTTTTTACGGACCCAGATGACACGAGGAAATCTCTAAAAGAGCGATTTCAATTTTAGACGATAAATCTTTTAAAATAAGGTTTAATATCATAACGTATGTATCAAGGTATTGGTCGGCAGAATATCGAAGATCAAAGGGGAGAGAATATTATTAGCTTATCGAAGGTTTTTTATTTCTGATAAAAACGGTCCATTCTCCCATGTATCTGTTAAACGTGAATCCGTTCAAAATATTAACGTTTTATCGTACTTTTCTGATTGGCGGGTTGTGAAGCGCACTGTACAGACAGTGCAACTACACTCGCGCCGATAATGAACTCGACGGCAGCGTTGACAGGAAAAAAAAAGACAAAAAGGTGAGGTCGTATCGCGAGTTGGCTCGGGAGGGGGTTTGTTTAGCAATGCATCCAACGGGAAGGGGAACCGACGCGACACAAAGTGCGTCTCGTTGGTTGCGTTTCTAAGCAAACCCCTTCCCAAGCCAACTCGCAATGCTCCTCCATCTTTTTGTATTCTGTCCGTCAGCGCTGCTCGACAGTCCGATTGCAATTTCGCCGCACACCTGCGTCTTGCGATCTTCCGTCTTATGACGATTTCTTGCAAGGTATCGCGTGTTGCTGCACCGTCGCAGCTCGTGCATTTTGACACAAGTTCGCGTCGCGAACCTCTCGCTGAAAATTGCACAAAGAACGAGTGCTCTCGGCGAGCCGTTCTTTCATTCCGCGAGATCCGCTTTGCCATAAGAGTTGTCCTCCGCTGTTCGCGCGTTCTTCGGTGTTTGGATCTTCGGAAATTGCATCTTGCATCTGCTCGTTCACGAAAAGGTGGCACAAATTTCGACAATGGGGTGTGGAGGGACCTGTGCGACCCTACTCTTCTGCCATAGCAGGTATATGGGACACCGTGGGGCGGGGGTTAGCTCCCTAGAAGTTCCTCTGTGCCATCTTCTCGTGGGCGGACAATACATCGGCCGGAGTCATAACATAAGAATTTGGATTTTGTAAATCATGTAACAGTTAACATGTAACAATTTTTAATGGCGCTTTGCAGTCGCCACACGAGTGCAAAGGGTTTATAACTTTTATCGATGTTGCGTCTCAGGTAATTAAAAGTATAGAAATTCGTTTAAAAATTTATAAGCGACCTTTACACAATTCTCCAAGCTTATTTAAACAGTTGTCATCTCGACGTGCCCCTTGACGATAGTATTACGTACAAAACTATACAACATTCGTCTGAAACATTTCCTTGTATTTTGAATACATAAGAAAATAATCGTAGATGTGTATAATACAATATGTATACAATGTGCGTGACGCGAGCGCTCGCGTGCTCGAATAATACAATATTATAAATCATCCAAGTCTAAATTTTCTGTACATTCGTTATGCGAGTTTATGGATACGATACTGTTCGACGAACTGTGCGGCGTGGGATTTCTTGCGAGTGCCGATGCCTGGTGAACTTGAATCTGCGGAGGAGCGTTGGCATTCAACGAATTATGAGGGTGTTGTGAAGGGTGTTGTGAAGTGTATTGTGGAACATATTGTGGCTGATTGATGTTTATCATGTTTTTAACTAATTTCAATACTTCGGTCCTAAACTCCAATTTGTGATGGATATTGAACGATCGCACTGTCGGCAGTAACGAGTCGAAGAACGCTCTGTCTTCGTCCAATTGTGTTTCATAATTGTTTTGCGCATGTTGTGCGCCCGGTGTGGTTATACAATTGGTTAGACGTTGGTCGAGCATTTCCTTGCGGCGGCGTTTACTTTGCATTTCGTTCAGTGAATTTTTGGCGTTTGTATTTTCATAGTTGTTGCTGCGCGTCTTCATGATGTCATTGTGCGTTGAATCCGAGATGTCGCCCTCTGTTTGCGACATCGGCAGAGTCCCGTATGCCACACCGTTCCCAGCGTTCGTTATATTCCTCGGTTTCAATAAAAACGAGAGCTGGTTATAATATATATACTGCTTCGCGCAATCGGCTCCTTGGCCGGATTTACTTCTTTTTCGTATGCTTCTCATAAATGCATCTTTGATATTCTTCCACTTGTGGATCAATCTTTTATCTGGAATTAAAGTGCACATTTTTACAGAGCTATACCAGATGACGTCACGATGATTAGGATGACTGTTATCGTTAGTTATGCACGACCAGAACCGCCCTTAGCATCGGATACCCCTCCTGATACATTGGTACGCTTACCGGCAAAGATCGAGAAACATGCTACTTGCGAGGGTCAATTAGGGAGAATTTACCGCAGTTGGAATTTGAACTGTGCACAAATGGAAAGCTAGTCTGCATCGAGACAAGAAAAGTTCGACGAAGATAAACGAGAAGATAATTTCGCAGAGAAGATATTTTGTTAGTTAAAGTGGAAAAGCACGTGCACTGGCAAGGCCAGGAACCCTGTGTGTATTGCTAACGCAATGCAATTATCGTGTGCGTATAAGCGAATGAAACGCAAAGAAATGATATTGCACTTAAAAATTCTGAAGAGAAGAAAAACTTACTGATGCCGTTTCTCTCGGACTCGGACATTCCTTCGATATTGGGATAAAATTCTTTGGAAATAATAAACCACGCCAAGATTTTCATGTTCTTGTCGTGGTAATTCTCACAGGAGGTATCCCATATTTCAGGGTACTTCTTAATCGCTTCAATGAAAAGTTCAATATCAAAGATATCGGTCATGGCGGCTATCTAGTCTGCCGCGCGGTCTCGTCGCGATCCTCCGCGGCTTATACTATATACTTTCTACAGTAGTTTCTACGTTTACACGAGAGCAGCGATTTAGACCGATGCACACGAGCGACAAGGCACTACTGCGATGCCGCGTCGCGACGCGACACCGCTGCGACACGGCCACGATGTCGCTGTGCTGCTGCTCCACGCTGTCGGAGAACGGCGTCGACGCGGCTCCGCTCGCGAGCGAGCGGGATCGCGTCTCGTGAACGTTGCACAATCCAATGCACACAAGCGATGCGGCGGCGACGCGACGCGACGCCAGTGCTGCGTCGCCGCCTAGTCGCCTCGTCGCGCCACCTTGCCGCGATTCTGCGGCGGTGACGGCGAGAGCCGTTTCGCGCGAGGATACGCGCGACGCGTATGCGATGCAACGTTAAACGCGCGAAAAAATATCGCTGTATCGCCGTCCGAAACGTCCCGTTGAATTTACACGCACGGTCGGTATCCGTCATACAAGCGTCGCGATACCAGCAGCCTCTGAAACGGGTCTGAAACGCTGCACGTTGCACGATAAAGCGACACCGTCGCACAAGGCGGACCGATATCGCAAACGCGCGGACTGGAAGCAAATTTTTGCAGCGCAATGATAATCGATGGAATCGTAAATGTTCATAATAAATTGCGTTGAAGAAATAATCTTTCGTAGACGGTGCAGAATTAATTTAGAGATTAGTTCAAGCGATTATAATGTTAATGTTTTTGTGGGAGAACAAGACCCTGTAATGTTAAATAAACAAAGATTACGTTAATTTTTATCACGTATATGTATGTAATTTTTATCATCAATATTTTTATCATGTATAGGAAAGGTCCGCGTTGTTGGCTCTAGCTTGAACTTAAACTATAACAACCCCCCTCAACGCGGATCTTTACCATGTTGGTCGCGATTTGCATTTGCGCCAAGGAGAACAGTTACTTCGAATTACCTCAGGGACCCTTATTTCTCGATTTTTTTGTAACTTTTGGGACACCCTGTATATTGACCCACCCCTAACCGAAGCCTTGTTTTTACAGTCCTCTTCGTTACTTTAAGAATCGGCACAACTTCTAATTAAAAATAATTTCACGGAGCCGTTTTCTCAATTACAGTAAATTCACCCCAATTCGCGCACAAAATGGACACGATTATCCATTTTTGTGCGCACTCTGTACATCGTTTTTACGTCTACCTTTTTCACTGCCAACTAGTCGAGGGCGTCCTCGTCCTCTTTAGTTCAATCGCGGATGCAGAATTCACCGCATTCGCGGGTAAATAAATTATTTAATAGCAAAGTAAAGACCCTCGTTTCGTACCGTGGACGAATAAGAATAAAACGAAGGGGTTGCTGAAATTACGCGCGGAAGTATTCGATACGCGTCGGGGGTTGCTCTCGATTGGTCACCCACGGTATACGAGCAGACGACAAGGGGTGAGCAGCCGTGGCCGAGTGGTTAAGGCGTCTGACTCGAAATCAGATTCCCTCTGGGAGCGTAGGTTCGAATCCTACCGGCTGCGAATATTTTTTTTCCTCCTCGCTTTTTAACGAGACGGAAATAATTCATCGGAATCGATTCATCTTACCGCCCCAATTTTACCCCTAGACCGATTCGACGGTATTATTCGAGCCTCGAGCCCTCGTTTTTATAGTTATCGATAATCGGTTGCTGTAAAAACGTATCGTGTCTCATCTCCCCAAATATCGTCCATTTTCGTTTACAAATTGGGGGACAATCGGAGAGAATTTACCGTCCATGTGTACGCCTTCACCTAGAAGATAAGCATGACAATGTTTTGTCAGCGTGTCCGATAACAAGCGAGCGATTAAAATTGGTGAAACGTTTATCTTCGACGATCGCTATCACCGAAGAAACGCAACGTTGCGATAACGATCTCGACACGGCTGTTGCACGTGTATAATTACGATAGTCCGGTCTCCGGTCGTAAATCTAATGACCATTAGTTTCGTATAAACCACTGTTTTAATCGGAGTTGTTCGAGAGAGAAAAAAAAGAAGTGTAACAAACCGAGGCCATCGTCTCTTATCTCACCTTGCGCTGCGAAATGTACCGCGAACCTCTGACATTCACTTTCTAACGGAACTAATGGGCGCGGAAAAACAAAAATAGCTGGAAACTATGCAAACTGCGTGGCCGGCTAGTAGATAGCCGCGAGAGCAAAAATTTGATCCGGAAAAATCTGTGCAGAGAAAATGTGTGGCTACGACGGAAAGAAACGTCGAAGCGGTTTGTCCACCGAGACTACGGTGCAACGGATTATACAACCGCGTCTGTCATTAAAAATATTAAAGATATCTAATCAAAAACAGCTAACCGCACCTCTGCTGCCGTAACGATTAGGCGCGGGTTCCAGGGCACGTGTCCTGTTCGCGCTGTGCCGAGAGCGGTTTCGTCTATGCGGCAATTTCTTCCTAATTAACACTCCACTAACAAAAGTGGACAGTTTGGGAAATAGAGATACGATTGTTCGAGCCTTCCGCTTCGTTTTCATAGTTGTCGACGATCGCGGATCACCCGTTAGATTCGCATTCTTGCCGAGTACGCGAGTCCTAGTTTTCTGGCTCTCACCCACAACAGCATCGAGAGTAGATTGTGGAGCAAAGTATCTGCTGTATCCTGCCTATCCTGTCGTATCCTATCCGATCTACTAGATCTAGACGATCTACGCTTGTCTACGATCGTTTCGAGCCAACGTAGAACATACTCTGGTACATAAATATCGGAGCATTTGCAAGATAGATCTAATATTTAGTACGTAAAATAATATTCTACAATTTAAAATAAATTTCAAATCGATTTTGAAATAAATAAAAGGTTTCGAAATAAATGCAAATAATTTTGTACAAATACGACAGACTAAAAATGGAGTTTCTGCCATAAATTACCACCCCCCGGATCGCCGTGCACCGGCGGATAAAAGAATAACAACGAGTCATTAGTATTCCGAGACGTTTGCTTCTACGTCCGCGTACAGAGGATTCCGAGTAGCGATTTTCTTCCTCAAATTTTTGCGATACTAACTTCAAGGTTTACAGTGTTCGCAAGGGTCATACAGCGGAGACGGTAAACAACTATAATTTATGGGTCGCGGTGGGTCGGCCGAGCTTTTTTTTTTTAAATTAACGTTCCCGATTAAATAACCGTATTTTTAAAGAGAGAAAGCCATGGTAGCGGCTATCGAATATTTTTATATAATGCTAACGACTGCGTAAAGAATGTTGCTTTCCATAAAGAGTTGTCAAACTGATTAAAAGTTTTTCATGATTTCAAAGTAACAGTTTCTTGTTTTGCGGTGTTTATCGGTATTTAGAACGATCGCTTACTTTCGCTCGAAAGAGCCATTACGATGGCAGAAACAGTCTCGAGTACACGGCAAAAGTAACCAACTACTGTTACTCACTCTTACTTCTGCTCGAAACGAACGGTTCTCGAGCGGATCGCTCGTCTATCTGTCCATCGTAGCACACTTTCGCAACGCAGGATGTGTGCGAGATGCCGTCGGGCACGATTCGATTGAAATTCAATTACAAAACGATTTTTGAGTCCCGGCTCTGGCCTGGATCGGATCGGTGTCCTGCGTAGTTCCGAGATTCCCTGACTTTAACACCGCGAGAAAGCAATGGTTCGAGTAGAAAGTATTCTGATTCTGATCGCAGGATAGCCTGGCGCTGGTCTATCCGGGAGACGGTCGAACAGACACGGACGATCCGACGGACGGCACGGTTTCTATACAGGGTGGCCCAATAATGTCTCGCAATCCGAAAATAGGGGCTTTCCGAGACCGTTCGAAGTAACTGTTTCCTTAGCGAAAATGCAGTAGCTCTCTTTTAAAGAAGCTGCCGAAATTAAAAGAATATTTCTGCGAAAGATTTATTTGATATATAATCGTACGAAATTTAAGCGTATCCGATCGAAAATCATCGGGCGGTATTTCTAAATCCGGGAATATAATAAAAACGAAATGAATGCGAATAATTGCGAAATAAATGCCACAGAATGCTAAATAAATTCTTTGATCGAAATATCTGGAACACGTGGAGACGTGAAATTTTAATATCGCGAAATGTACGCAATCACCGGTACGTTCGCAGCTTTCCTCTCTGGAATTTCTCTCTTTCACTGGAGCGCCGCAATTGATCTTTTTCGTATCCGACATCGCGAAGTCGTGCATCAAAAAGTGTCTCTTGTTGCTTCAAACTCGACGAACCCTGCTGTTCATCCACGTGGATGCTGGCAGCAATGTAACAAAAATTCAGCGACAAAAGTGAAACGATACGAACGTCTCGAGATCGAATTATAACCGAATTACATTGCGTTTCGTAGTTTGTCGCGATTACGCGACAGGAGGTCTATGAGGATTTTTGTGCGAGTAAGAGTTGAACAAACGCGTTATTTAACAGCAGCGAAAGACACGTGAGAAGGCGTGAGAAGGCGTGACAAGGCTCAACGTATGCGCAATCGCTGGATCAACGTGCTTCTAAATTATGCAGCACGATACAGACTGAACAGCTAACGGAAAAAAATCGAACGAGATTCGAGCCCGGTCGACCGGCAGCGATTGAAAGTTGCCGCGAATTTTTTCTCTATTAATTATATTCCCCGCCAAGGACTATTTACAGCGTTACATTCCAAATATCGCTGTACGCGGTTTTAATATATGCTCAGCCGCCGATAGTTTCTTTTTCGCCAAAAACGAGTCTCTCGTTCGACCAGTCGGACAAAAGTGAAAAATTCGAAACGCAAGCGTTACTAATAATTGCAATAACGATATTGATAAGACACTATTTATTTAGTAAAAAGGCTGTGGCAATTTAAAATTGTTTAAGCACGATTGTACCTTTTTGGTCATCGATCGATAGATCTTTGTACGCTTTTTAACAGAAAGTATCGGGGATCCTAGATTCGATTAGTTCAGAAGTCGTGAATTTAGTCCGAAAATCCTTCGTAGCTGTTTACACGATCGAACGCTTTGTAAAGCGTCTCGTCGCGTTGCGACAAATCGAAGACATTCTCCCGTGGTCCATTCTCCATTGTCGCCGGATTAGCGTAGCCTACGCGGCTCGATTGAAAGCTCCGAAATTGAAATGGTGCAGCGTAGAACTTGTCTTGCACGAGACCTTTCGTTCGCGCGACGATTACGTACGACCACCCGGACAGGTTTCTACAGAGATTTATCGACCTCTTGTTTTTTTTAAAGTCACTCATTT